ACCAGATCCATCTCTTGAAGCTGGGAACACTGTGCCAGCAGGTCTCAGTCACTCACCAGCCAGGAGCCCAAGCAAACCTTGGAGCAGCCGAGGAGAGCAGCCCTCTCTTGTGCTGTCTGCAACCTTTAAGCAGAAGTCTGGACAGATCCAAAGGTCCCACCTGCCCTGTGCATACACCCAGCTAGTCTGCAAGCATGCAATCCCAGCAACAACTTCTAGGCACAGTTAAATAATGCCCGATGAAACGATGATGCAATATCCTCTAAGAAAGAGAAAGAGGGACAGGCACTGCTGTATTACAGACAGCACAACCCTGGGATTCAGAGGGACCGTGCAAAGATGCACAGAGCCCACAGGGCTCTGAGCGCACAAAGACACACACAAAGCACTCTGATTCATGCTGGATGCATACGGACACGCGCAAGCGAGTGAAAAGCTTTCTCTACATGGTTTCCAAACAATCTCAATACAACTCACACGTCAGCCGGGGCAGCGGCCGCTCGGTACTTACAAGAGGGTTTTTTGCTGTGTCTGTCCGTCTGCTGCCGGAGTCAGGACGGGTGTATCCGACTCCGAGGGAAGGTGCATGGAGATGTGCAGAGAGGCTCTCCTGCCAGCAGGGCCTGGATGGATGGGAAGAAGGGCCCCAGCCCCACTTTGGGCCCCAGAGGCAGCAACACTTGTTCAGGGGATGGAGTGCAAAAAGGCTGGCATTCCTACAGCAGCAAGGACAATGGGGAGGGATGAGGAGGCGCTGCCATAATCAAATGCAGGCCAGCTGGCCCTCCCCCAGGAAGGGCAGGCACCTCCTTCACTTGCCAAAGGCTTTGTTTTCTAAGCCACAAAGTGGCTGAGGAGGAGAGAGAGAGGAGGAGGAGGAAAGTGGAGGAGAACCCACTGTGGGGGCAGAGCCACACCTAAGCGCAGGTAACCCACTCTGCGAGAGCTGTCACCACAGCTGGAGAGGGGTTGGGCAAGACTCTGCCCGCTCCAAGCGGAGCTCAGAAGCAGCAGCTCCTTGCACGCAGCAGAAAGAGGCTGGAGATCGCTACTGAGGAACCAGACTCGGCACAGGCGTAATTACAGCCAGGGGTCCTTCAAGAGAAGGGATCCAAGGGTGGCAGCCAGAGAACGCCACTGAAGGAGCAGCTCACGGAGCAGAGCCCAAAGAAATCCCAAGGGAAATACTACCATTTCTCAACCATCCTCACCCCAACAATCCCGAGCACCGGGCCTCCGAACGGCTTCTCTCAAAGTAAATGCAAGGCAAGGGTCCAAGCTGCAACAGGCTCCCAGGCCACGGCAGAACAATGCCCACGCTTTTCCCGAGCGCCAAAAGAGGCAGCATCTTGCACAACATCCTGACAAGCAGGAAAAGAGCCCCTGGAACTGCCTCAAGCCCTCCTGTAATGATACAGGCAGTTCAGCTGTGAGGCTCTGGGCATCGCACGGCTGCAGGGAATGCAGGTGCTGAGTTGGTGTGATGGGACTCCGCCCTTGCTGGTTGGGTCAGTGCTTTCTTCCAACAGGGCAACTTTTGCCAGCAAAGTATCACGTGCCTTCGCTACTGACCTTCTGCGGGACTGGTTGTCGTCCCAGGGCTGGCAAGAGACCGTGCCGCATGCTCTGGCTCATTAGTCGTGCCACTGTGAGTTAGGTAGCTGTGGTCCTGACAGGGCGCATGGCTCTCAGGCAGGCCATTTCACGCCTGCGGATGCAGGCAGCTGGGCACTTCGCTCATGATAAAGTCAAGAGCATGCAGAGAGCTGGGGATGTAAGCGACCTGGGAAATAACTTCACCGAAAGAAAGCTTGAGAAAGGAAAACACGTGAAGGCTAAGAGAGTAAGCAAGGAGAGGGAGGCTTGCTCTAGCTCCTCCCGGTGATGTGCCTATGGCAGTGCCACTGTGAAGCCAGGACAGGCAGCGAGAGCAAAGGGTACTGGGTCCGCCACCCTTGTAGGCACCCCAGAATAAAGCAGACATCAGTGCTTTTGGTACTACATACACACCCCGGCTTGCTCAGCTTCTCAGTTCTCCCCCAAAGCACTGTGGTGGTGCCAGATCCCAATGGAGCCTTGGAATTGAGTAAACAAGGGACAACGGCCAGACTAGGCTTGGAGCCCCAGGAAGATGGTGGGTCCTCGAGTACACCCGCACTGAGTCTGCGGTACTGAAAAACAATCCGCTGCCCGCAGTCAGAGATGGGGAAGGCAGCTTCCCTCACCGCTCCTCCTGCCTCAGCCCAGCCATCATCCAGCCTTTGTCAGGCACAGAGAGCTCCTGCCGCAAAGGAAGTGGGGACAAATGGAAACATCCAGCTTGGCAGCGGTCATGGCTTTGGGGAGGGAACCCTGCCAGCCCATGTGCAAGCTCCATGTGGTCTGGCCCAGCTCAGCCTGCCTCATCACAGGGAGCTCTCCCAGGCCATCAGGAGCTGCCAAGCAGTGAAAGATACAGTACAGCATCTTGACAGACCATATGGGGTCGTGCTGTCCTGTCCATGGCCCGTCCAGCAGCCACAGGCAGCACCCCGCACAACACTTGCTCACCACATGCAGAAGAAGGACCAGCAGAAGGGAGCCTCCCATTCCTGGTGGGCAGCAAGGTACGCAAGGGATGAACCATGATCCCTGCGGTGGGCACTCCGCTCCCTTGGCGCATGCCGAGATGTTTGGAGAGATCTGAGCTTGCCAGCTCATTACCATGGCGTACATTGCTTACGCATCCTCAGGCTCCTTCCCCAAATCCTGGGGTCTGGCACGCTGCAGGCTCTTCACAATAAGGAAAAATCAAGGACACTGCTTAGTTTAAGACTCCTGCTGTTGATATCCCCTTAAATATTAGGGAAGAGAGAAAGGGCTTAGGCAGGCACTGACAAGATCACTGCAGTAAGGTCAAAGCAGCTCAGCTTTGAGAGTAGAGAGTGAAATCAGTATAGATAAAATCTTCTGCTTCCCCCCACCCCACCTCCCAGACCACACCACTGACTTTGCTTTGGGAAGGAAGAAAGGCATTCTGGAGATCAAGATCAAAATAATCAGCACTGAAAGAACTTTCATGCCACGCAGCGACTTCTGCACCCATCCTACAGCTGCAGGATGTATCTCCTCCACGCCCCTGGTTTCGGTTGGCCACCAGTTCACAATACACACGTGCTGTATTTATACCACCAGCAGTGTTTATAGTTTTAATGAAACCAGAGAGATCAAAATCCTCCTCCCTCCCTCTCCTCCACACCAAAGCAGCATGCAAACACGCTGTGCCACTATCATTCAGTTTTCACTGGGGCTGTGGAACATGAAAGGCACAACCAAGAGGGATGGCGGTGCTGCCACCAAGGACTGCATCCCCCAGTTGTCATCCACCAAAAAGCAGCTCTATGAGAAGTGATGTGACACCCTAAGAAAAGAAATGGTCCATCTTTGGGGTCTGTGTAACATTTGTGTCCCTGGGAAGAACACATTGCTGTTGAGTCATGTCTGACTGCCCCGGCAGCCCAAGAGCTACTACCACAATGTGGATTCCATGCCTGAACGGAGAATGGAGCAGCTGTCACGTGCTACAGTCCATGTTTGTGCTCCAGAGATCTCCAAGCTGGGTGGCTTCATATAGGACCGACGTTTGTCTTGCCCACAGAATTGCCAATATGCCAAGCAAGGCTTGGCACCTTTGTGTGCCTCAGTTTATCAGAAGAAACATGACAAAAACCATCCTTCCCAGGACAGCAAGGGGTGTTCAGGGACCAGAGCAGCCCCTGAACATCTGTGCTCAGTGAGTGAGCAGAGCACAGGCTCTTGCTACTCTCCTACAGCACAGGAGGCACTTTTCTCTCCATTAAGCAGGGAGGAAAAAAAAAAAAAGACAGACATTCCCACAGCAAGAGGGTCCCGCACCAGCACAGCAAACTGCATAGATGAGCTGGAGCAGACCTGCAGAGCATCACTAAAACTCAAGCCTCGCGTGTCCTGACAGCGGCGTTCTGGGCTGCCTTTTCCACTTTCCTCCCTTGCGCAGGATGCTGCTCGATGTTTTCATGTTTAGCTGACTTTCCCCCGCCTCCTCCGAGCAGTTCTGGCTGCCAAGGCAGCTCAGAGACAGCAACTAAGTGGTACCTACATCTGGTACAGCTTAACATTTAGTGTCTATTCTTTCTGGAATTTGAGAACTTCAATACCCAATGTTTGTACAAGTGTGGAATAAATGAAGCATGGGCTCCCTGGCCTTCTGCGCTTGCCAAAGCTGTATTTTAAAATGCACTTAGATAATTCTACTGTTTATCCATCTGCAACTTTAGAAATTAAAGGACACCAAATCTAACTGCAGGTCTGCTGAATGGGTGCATTTGCAAGAAACCAAGCAGGTGAGAAGGCCAGGCACTCATAGTCACTACACTCATCCTCTCGGGCTTCCCAGATGCCTGGTCCAACCCAGAACCCTTGTTCCCTCAGCCACACTTCCCAGCACCACGTTCTGGTGCTCCATTTCCTCACGCAGGCCTCCACAATAGAGAAGCTGGGCTATACTTAGGGCTGAATAGCAGAGTGCTATTCCTGATGTGTCAAGAGGCTGAATTTACCAGCTTGTAAGGATACAGCATGAACAAAATGCAGGCAGCCTCTCCTGGCCTGGTGGCCAAGACTGGGTCACAAGCAGCCAATTTCTTGACCCTTGATGTCCAAGCTAGTGCTGCCATGATCCTTCTGTCCACTGCGTCCACAAGAGAGGCCTACAAGCTACAGCTCAGACAGTAGAAGACCTCTATTCTTAACAGATGTGGACATTTTCTAGAATACACACCCACCCCTTCACCCACGTACTGACTTTAAAAAAAAAAAATCACTGCAGACACATGAGCATGAGTGGGCTTTTGCAGAACATAGATCCAGTTCCCTGTTGGTGCACATGCTACATTTCACATCTTTTATAAACCACCAAGCTACAGATTGAGTCCAAGCAAGCTTTTTACATCCTCCTCTGTGCAGCAGATGCCTTGTCTTACCTTGTCAAAGAATTCATACAGCCTGACCGTCTCACAGATTCGATGTCTGTTTTCATCCAGTTGAGTGCAGAACTCTTCCAGTTGATCTCTGTAGGTCTGCAGCTTCACCCTGTAACAATGTACATCCACAGAGGAAAAGTCTTCCCATCGATCCATCTTCTTTAGTGCTTCCTGCCCCCTTCTGCAATATTCCTGAAAGCAAAATGGGATTGCGTATGAGGATAGAGACCCAACATGGACACTACATAGTCTTCAAGGTCATTGACATCTAGGACTAATTAGGCTGAATTTTAAGGCTCAAATCACATGAGCAGGGGTGTACTTGTTTACAGCACAATTCTGGAGAGTCCTGACCTCTGTTATGATTTATATGAGCCACACCGCAGCTTGCAAAGGCCTACACAGTACGTCCACAGGTCAGTTAGGATCAAAAAAAAAAAAAAAAGACAGTGTTACAAGCACATGAAGGGATTAATAAAAAAAAAATCCATCTTCAACTACAGTAGTTATTTTCCTCAAGACTGGCAAATACCATCTAGTGAGCGGTTGAGCTGGTAGCTTTGTCTACAAGAGGAGAGAAGGGAAGCCAAGTAGCGTAAAGGAACGACACACACCTTGGTGATGAACCTTCTATCTTAGCACCAAGGGTTTGGCTTAGCATGTACATGTACAAGGCACATATGCTGCTGGCTCAGGAGAATATGTTTTTCCAATCAGACACCACTTACACTGGCAATAAGATCAAACTCCCTGAACTGCTTTTGTGTTTGAAGCAACACCTCCAAAGAATCATCCAGGTTGATGGTTTCCTTTAGCCGTTTTCTGCCAACGTTCTCGATCCAACTGCTGACCTAGGAGAACAGGGAAAAGCTCCACTATTAGTCACTCTGTGCTACTCACCAAGGTAGGCCTTTATGTGGAAAGAGCAAGGAATTGCTCTTTATAACGCTAGTCATTTCATTACTGGAAAGAATGTGCATCTACACTGCTCCCCGATCCTGGCATTTCAACCTGAGCCTCATGCTAGGAGTTCTTCCACTTCAGGTCACTGAGTAATTGCAAAGCTCTGCTATTGCTCACTAGCCTTAGGCATAAACAGGGCAAGTAGCTGCTTGGGCTCTGCTTCAGGTGAGCCGTGGCCTAATGCAAGCCCTGCAACCTGCAGGCTGGCCTGATAATCCTATTATCGTTACCCCCAAGTGGGATAAAATCTCCTTGCTGCCAGATTTCCTACACCACTTCCCTTTTCTGACTGTCAGGACAGGAACGACGTCAGTGTGAACATACTGATGGATTCTTCCTGTCTGCAACAGTTCATGATTCTCTGGGACTCTCAGCCACTGGTTTTCTGAAGACAGATCGCCACAAAGCCGTGCAGTAACTTGCAGGTTCCTCGACAGAGCCCAGCCACTGCCACAGTTGTGCCTATGTCCTCAGACATGGGTAGAGAACTGACTAACAAGTGTCCTAAAAGCAAAGCAGACACAGGAGGCCAGGCAGGATAACACAGCATCTCCATCAATAGTAGGTTTTAAAAACAGGCTAGTAAACTTGTCTGCAATGCTTCAGGCATCACTGCGCCTGGGGGAAGGGACAGACTAAATGCTTCCCAATGCCCATACATCCTGTTTTCCTCTATCATCTAAATCCATATCCCAACTCAACCCCGTGGTCAAGGACAAACTCCTAGTCTTTTGGACTGAGAGAGGGTCTGTGCCCATGGAACAAGCACACTGGCAAAATGGGGAGATGGGGGTGGGTTCCCAGGCTGTGACCCATTTCACAGAGGGGCACATACTGCTGCTAGAGCTCCTAGACAGACTTAAAAGCAGGAGCAGTTGCTGCCATCGTTGGTGACCTGCAAAGTAAGCTGGGAACAGTCAGTTTTGCTCAATTCATTCAAAAGAAGTTCAGCTTAAAGCAGGGGCAGGTTACAGAGCCTGCCTTTGTGCCTTTTTTCATTTCTGTTTGGTATTAGGAACCTGTGTGTTTAAGGGAGTCTTTACTAGGTTCTTGCATCACACTTCTTGTCCTGAACACGCAGTGCATGGCGCCCCAGTGTCTACTTCCAATTGGGAAGTCATTAAAGCTCTTGGATCCACCTTGGCCTGTGAAAACAACAGGTAGGCTACAGCCTCCTCTGCAAATCCAGTTCTCTCCAGAGGAGAAGAGCCCAGAATCCTAGAAGAGCAATGGTGAAACTAGCCCTAGTACAGGTCTTTACGGATGCAGGTTCCTCAGGTGAGCTCCAAACAGCACACAACCCTTCACACACACAGGGTCATTAAGTGATATACAGAAGAAAAAACTTCTCATTGTTGACGAGTTACAGCAAAGAAAACTATGCGACTCCATAACCTAAAGGTAGAGTTCAGGCTTAGGGAGCACATCTGGGATCTGCAACGCCGAAAGAACTGATCAGATCTGGTAGGACGCTGAGACAGCCTGAGCTACTTTATGACTTTTTAAGGTTCTCTATCTACACAGCTACAGGTTTCAAAGGTCTTTGTGAAAACCAGTGCCTGTTTGCTTCAGTTATCCCACAGCTGTAAAGAGTTTCAGTGAGCACCACATGAAGGGAATTTTAAGCTCCCATAGAAGTGCAGGGGAGTGGGGGGATATAGGCAAGCCCTGCAAGATCTAGAGCCCAGAGGGGACACACGGACTCATCAGCTTGTTGCCATCACCCTGTTGCTTCTCAAGGTGGACCACAAAGAATGGCTCCTCAATTGTCTTGCTGGGAGGGTACTTTTGCTGACCAATGTAAAAAGACACCCCACCGACAAGCGTACTGCCTACCAACAAGTGTAGTACACTAAAGTCTCTAAGTCTGGAAAAGCATCACAGCTGTTTATGGGGTTTGACTGATCCACACCTAAAGAACAGCCAGAAAACTTTTACTTGGCATCAAGAGATACCAGGCAAAAGAGTGGCTTGGTTCTCAGCACACCTGAAAAATCTGTCTCAGATTCTTATGTTCAGTTGTTCTTTTTAAGGGTCTACAGGCATCATTCTACACCTTCACAGGAGAGATCAACAGGCCCAGTATCTGCTGTGGGACACACAGTCAGAGGGTGGCAGCAAGCAGTCACTGGAACCAATAAATAGGCCTTACCTCCTTAAAACACTCTTCCACTTTCTCAAACTCCATCACCAGCTCCAGTTCCTGGATACGTTTGTTCGACAGCATCACCAGTCGGTGAACGCCCTCATCCACTCGATTATAAAGCACGCTGGCAGCATCAAGTGCATCTCTGGAAAGGGACACAAGTCTGGTCAGGGGTTTTGCATTAGCACCTTCCTCCAGCACTTCAGGCAAACACGACCTGGCCAACAGTGGCACTTCAGTCATCCACCCGTGGGACCTGTAATGGCCATCTCCATATGGAGAACAGAAGGAGAATAATGCTGCTCCCTGAACGTTCCTGTGATGCACTACTCTGATCCCAATGCAGACAAGAGAATCTCCTCCCAGCCAGGCTCCTTGCAAAACATCGCGTACTTTGTCACACTTTCAGGCAGGATACTCAGCTTTTCATAAATGCAGGTTATTGCATCAGCAGGCTTTCACAAAACAGAGTTGCAGGCAGTCTCAGTGTCTAAAACCACCATTTGCATATAATTTCAGTAAGTAAATACGCAATCACTAGGAAGGAAATCTCTCCTGAACGACAACAACATAAAGCACTTGGTGCCCCACTCACTCTTGGGAATTTCCACCAGCCAAACAAAAATGCAAAGCATACAGCACCCCAGCCCCAAGAGAAATTGAATTTTACAGTGTTGTGCTGGAAAGATTCAAAGACAGAGCTCCCAGTCTTGCACAGGCAGCTGTGCTGACCAAAGCCCAACAGGCAGCACTCTGTCTGCCAGCCTGGCTGCAGCAGAAGTTAACCTCCTCCGTGCACAGGCAGGGATGGAGGGGTTCAGACTGGAGCCCAGTGCCCTTGGACACTGGAGCCACACACCCAGCACATCCCAGCAAGATGACGAATGTTAGCAAGTTCCTTTCAGGTGCGTGCAACACCTCGCTCACACGGGTTCAGAGGAATTATAGACAGGATCCAGAATAGCATTCAAGTTTATTCTTTCTTTCTCATATTTCTTCTGCTTCTACATTTCCTCTCCTTTCACAAGTACGGACTCACCAGATGCCTACAACAAAACCCTACAGCCTCCTTCAGCTGTGCTCTACACCAGCTGCCTGAGCATCTCCCATACTCGCCTTAAACCAGCTTTCATTTTGCAATTGTCTTAACAACCTTCTGACTTACAAGAGTATGGCTTTTTTAATCACAATATTAAAATTATCCAAAGCACTTGTGAAATAGGTAGCTAATAAAACTCGGAAAGCTTTGCTCATGGAAATTAATACAAGCAATTCAGAATTCAGGTTTATTTGTTTTCTTGGGTTACAGGCACTCTTGAACCTATGAAATGCAACTCAATACAAGCGTTTAGTGGCAACCAACCTGTAGTTTTTAGATAGTACTTAATTGACATGAGGTGGTGCAATAGGTCTGGACAACTAGCTCCGCATAGCAGAAATCCACAGGATTTTTCCATTCAGAATTCCACCCAGTGTGCAACAGCCAATTTCTCAAACCTCAGGCTCCTAGATACTTTTGTTTTTCCTCTTCGAAATGCCATTAGACTGAATGAATTTGTCCAAAGCGCAGCCAAAAAACCACGAATTGTTTCTGGACTAAGATCAGTGCTACTGCAGTGCAGAGGAGACAGGTCCTCTACAGAGAATCTGCAAGCTTCCATGGAAAGATCCAAGCTGTAACGCTGCTCCCGCCTTTCCCGAAACCACCATAAACAAACAGCGATGATACGAGCCTTCTGTTTTGTAATCCTTTCCTAGGGACGGACCCAGAGCCAACCCAGGATACTGGCGGCAGCAGAGCCACAACCACCGTCCAAGCTGAGCTCTGGAAAGTGTGGTTACAGAGCAGGTTGTGAAGGCCAGTTCCCGTCAGCAGCAGTGACACAGCTAGGACAGCTAATGAGAAACAGTTTGGAAGATCACTGAAAGTTGTATTTGGCAACAACATTAATGCTGTTGGGTTTTGTGCAGCAGAACCTATCTGTCTGTCAGGTCCTAGTTTTTGAATAAGGCTCGAGCAAAATACAATACTTATGGCCAGGCAGGCAGACACCCTTCAGTCTTACTCCCACAGTTCTGAAATCCCTGCTGGCATGAATCCACTCAGGAAAGCACACCGATACACCAAATGGTCTTCCTCCCACCAGCAGAGACAAGCAAGCGCCTATGGCTTCAGTCATTACAGGCTGTTACATGCAAACATTTGCAATTAGCCTCTTGTGAGGCAAACTGTTTTTCCAATCTTTCTCTGAGCTTCCATGGAAATCACCTTGGTGTTGATGCTCCTTCTTTGATGGCACTCATCAACAAGCTAGATTGACCTGCTAGGCCTTTCTGTAATGGGAGTCCTTATGTCCACCTAAGCCCACGATAAAGAAAGCATGCATGGTTTCAACACTTAACAAGATACTGCAAGATGGCCACCTTATGGCATAAGCAACTGGAAACAAGAGTTCCAGCTCCTGCTGCATGACCTAGCACAGAGTGTGATCTGATATAGGGGAGCCAGGGAGTCCCACTCTACTCCTTTCCACACCTGATGGAGGAAACAGGACTGCAGCTGTCTCAAATTTGAGCAATTTTCCTTGTCAGGAGTCAGTCACAACCTGGGCTGCAAAGCTTTAAATACTACAGACTCCCACGTAGCAGACAGCACATTTCCCAAAGACACAAAACATACGCTCTCCTGAAGACAACATTGCAACTGTGGCAAAAATCACCCTCAAGGTAAAGGGAGAGGAAGCAATTACAAGACAAATGTGTTTTAAGTATCATTTTTATAAACAGAAATCGCAAACTCACTGTGTAAAGAGGCAAATTCACTGAGCCATCATGGACAAGACCAGTCTCTTGGAGCACGCTTGAGACCAGCATTGGCCTTATGACCAGTAAACCACGCCAGGCAAAGTAAGGTTCAAAAACACAGCAGTAAAATGCTACTTCTGGCCCACCTACCAAGCCCTGAGGAGCCCAATTTAGGAGAAGAGAAGGGGCTCAGGTGAACTGCTTGCTGCTGAGCTGAAAGACTGACAAAAATCCACCCCAAACAGTGCTCTTCTGGCCCCACACATGTTCCTTCCACGGAAGGAACTTATCCCAGATTATTGGCAATGCTAGAAAAATAAAGAGCCTGACTCTGAAGATCTCATTAAGGCCAAGCCTTCCTTGCATTTACAGAAAGTGGTAGAGAAGAACCAAGCTAGAGCCTCCAGTTTAGAAGTGAGCACTCGACCCTCTGATGCAACCCATGGCCCGGCAAATAATGCAACAGCTACACACGTCTGTAGGTCTACAGACACTCAGTCATCTTCCCCCTATCCCAGCTGATGCAATGGCACTAAAAATGACATTCTATTACCGAATGCACACATGGAAAACCTTTGCTTTACTGATCCACAGGCTTCTCAAACTTACCTACAGTCAGTCTAGGATGCATTTGGGAGTTTCTACTATAAGCCTGGACTGGGCAGAGAATTCTAGCCCTCTTACCCAAAATGAAATTAGCTCATTTTCATTTTAAGTTGGGCTGTTTAGGGCATATATCATTATCTTAAATCCCTTACTCTTGCCATTTAAGTAATTTTGTTTTCTGGGAATGCTTGCAGCAGGCTATTGATACACTTATCAGGGTGCAACCCAATACCCAAGGCTGCCCCTTCTCTTGGTCCTGCCAATGGTTTGCTGAGCGACTGCGCACAAGCCACCCAGAAAAAAAAGAAAAAAGATATTTCCAAAACAGCTCCTTCCAGGCTCAGAAAGACTTCAGGTGTGGCCTTACACCACTCTTCCTCCTCCACCAAGTTCCTCCAGCATCCCAGCACCTCAGTCCTTTGTCTCAAGGTCCAGCCACACTGTTTTCACACGTTCTGCCTCACTTGGCAGACGTTCATTAAAACCTCAATGTCTAGTTGTTGGTCTTCTGTTGCATCTCCAAGGTAACTCCATTCATACATTGTCAGCTCTTGACAGTTCACTTTTACCAGCCCGACAGGCTCTCTGACTAACATCCATCTTTCTCTCTTGACACAGAGGAAAATATAACCCTTTCCAGCCTGTAGTATAAAGTAGGTAGGCAAACTGAGTCAGACAAAGAACTCACCCATGGGAAAGTTTGGGGTTTTTGATTCATGTGGGCATTTCCAGTGCTCATAGAAAGTATCCACTAGGCATTAAGTGCGTTCTCCCAAACCTCTGTACATCTGATTACCTATCCACACGCACCCATCCATTTGCTGATCCACATCTTAAAAAATTCTTCCTAAATCATTTCTCGTATACTAGTAAACTCAACGATACGCTGCAACAGGGAGTTTCACAGGAAAAGGATACCTGGCATAAACAACTATTTCTTTTTCAGAGTCAGACTTGGGAGTTTTTCATTCCTGTCCTTCATTGCTTTCAAGGCAGCTTGGCATAAACAAACCAAATATTGAAAATTTGGTTGAAGAAGAAAAAAGTGACTTCCATCCTGCCACACAAAGGGAAACACCTGGTTGTTAAGCACCTTAAAGATATATTTTAAAGAGTGACCTGAGCAACTCTGAGGAAGAAAAGCAGAGAGTTGTTTGAACTCAGTGGAAAGTCTCATCTAAGCTTAGATTTGTTTGGATGCATTGCAATTTCCCTGCACATATGAGTGTGGTAAGAAGAGTCTTTCACTACATTCTTCCATGGTCAAATCATACAGAGTAATTTTGCAATAGTGCAGAGTCAATATAATTTATAGCAAAAAGGAGTAGCTTGATGTCAGTTTATGTTTCCCCAAATCCTGTTTTCATTGAGCAATTATCGTTTCAGTGGAAAAGGTTCCAAACGTCTTCAGTTTTCTGGAGAAGTGCCAAGCAGTTGTATAATGGTAGGGTAATTTTAAACCTATAATTTAGAAAGACCATTTCTGTCTGAATCCATCTTTCAAAAAAGCCAGCCTTGGAGAGTTACACTTTAGTTTTCAAAGCAAAATACCTGATTTATTTTTGAAAATAAATGGCCACGGAAGAGGCATCCAGCAGGCTTGCAAAAGCAGGTGCTGCATGAGCCATGCTGGTGAGACACAAATAGAAGAGCACAGGGAGGGAAGCAGCAGAACCATTACTATTCTGCAACTTACTGTCTGCCCCTTGAAAAACTGCTCTAGCCAACAGCAAG